CCCTGCCCCAAAACGGGATCCTTCCTCAAATGGGACCCCTCCCCAAATCGGGACCCCTCCCCAAATCGGGACCCTTCCCCAAATTGGGACCCTGCCCCAAAACGGGATCCTTCCCCAAACAGGGACCCCCCTCCCCAAATTGGGACCCTGCCCCAAACAGGGACCCCTCCCTGAGCTGCGAGCCCCCCAAACCGCGACCCCTCCCCAAACGGGACCCCTGCCTAAACGGGACCGCTGCCCTAAATGGGGACCTCTCCCCAAATCGGGACCCCTCCCCAAATCGAGACCCCTCCCAAGACCGGGACATTCCCCAAACAGGGACCCCTCCCCGATTTCCGTGACCACCGGGGGCACCAATTCCGCCATCCCGAGCCGCGACCCCTCCCCAAACCGGGGGCTGCAATCCCACCATCCCAAGCCGCTCTTTTCCCCTTCCCCCCAAACCGGCACTACCGGGGCTGCAATTTCCTCGCCCTCTCCCCACACCGGGGGTCCCTCTCACCATCCCGACCCCGTTTTTCCCCTTTTTCCCCCCATTTTCCCCCGCAGCGCCATGGAGAAGGGGAAGCTGCAGCGCTCGGGCAAGGAGGGCTCCAAGCGCAGCCGGCAGGTGAGCGCCGGGCGGGGCGGGGGGCACGGCGGGCTGTCCCCCCGGTCCCCCCGGTCCCCGGGCCCGCCGGGGGCTGCGGGTGAAGCCCCCCTGTCCCCGCAGGCCCCCGTGCTCTACGCCATGCTGGACCACGGCCGCAGCGCCAAGAAAGCCAAGGGCGGCGCCGGCAAGGATAGGAAATAGCGGTTAGCGGGCAGGGAGGGACCCCCGGGGGCGGCCGGGGCCTCGGGGGACCCCCGGCCCCCCAAAGTCATCATGACCATCGAGATGGAGCTGCGGGGGGAGCCCCGGGCCGCGGCCCCGCCCGCCGCCCGCTCGCCGAGCCGGGGCAGCCTCAAGAACGCGCTGCTGAGCATCGTCAGACCCAACTCGGGGGGCTCCTGAGGGACCCCCGGCGAGGAGCGGGGTGTGGTCCTCGCCTCGGGTCCCCCGCCTTGGGGACAGCGCTGGCGACAAGCGCGGCTCCCCCCCCGGCCACCCTCGGTCGCTCCCTGCCCAGCCCCGGGTGGGATTCGTGCCCCGGAACGCGGGGTTGGGGTCGGTGCCCCCTCCCCGGGGCCGTGTCCCCCTCCTCCCTGAACTCGGGGGGTTTCTCTCTGTGCCCCCCCAATTTCGCTCCTTTTCTGGCCGTTTTCTCGTCTCTCCCCGCGGCCGAGCCCAAATGACGTCGCGGGGTGGCCCCTTTGTCCCCTCCCTTTGTCCCCCCATTAACCCCCGCGCCCCGTAACCCCCGGGACCCCTCCCCAAACCCGGCCGGAGCCCCGTGGGAGGGGGCGAGGCTGCGGCCGGGCTGGGGGAGCCGCCCGTGCCCCCCAAGGACGCGTTTTGTACCCCCTGTCCCCGTCCCCGTCCCCTCCGTGTCCCCGTGGTGCCATTAATAAAGCTGACATCTCCGGGAGCCCCGTGCCACTGTCACTGCCACTGTCACTGCCACTGTCACTGCCACTGTCACTGTCACTGCCACTGTCCCCACACCACGGCGACATCGCTGTCACCCCCAGCAGGGAGGTGACACTTGGACGGTGACCTGGTGGCACCCCAGAGTCCCCAATGCCACCACCCTCAGCGCCACCCGCCGTTAATTAAAGCTGTAATTAACACAGCCAAAGCTCGGGGGGGGGTGGGGGGGGGGTGGGCTTTGGTGTCCCCTCGTGTCCATTGTCCCCTCGGGGGGGTGGCTGTCACCTTCTCGTGGAGGGAGGGGACAAAGACCCCGGCCCGGCGCTGGGGGGGCATTTGGGGCACGGAGCATCGCGGGAACGGCCCCGGTGCCCCCCCGGTGCCCCCCCGGTGCCGTTGTCCCTTTCCCTAATAAGTCAGCGCTGCCCGACCCCGCCGTGTCCCCTGGGGCCACCGCCGCTGTTTTTCTTTCCACGGAGCTATTTCTGCACCGGAGCGCGGCATTGCGGGGCCCTGGGAACCGCCCCGAGCCCCCCAAAACCCGGCTGCGAACCCCCCAAAATTGGGCTGAGAATCCCCCCAAAATTGGGCTGTGAAATCCCAACAATTGAGCTGCGAACCCCCCCAAAACCCGGCTGCAAATCTCCCAAAATTGGGCTGTAAACCCCCCCCTAAATCCGCCTGCAAAGCCCCGAAAATCTGGCTGCAAAATTGGGCTGCGAACCCCCAAAAATTGTGCTGCAACCCCCCCTAAATCCGCTTGCAAAGCCCCAGAAAACCAGGCTGTGAACAGCCAAAAACCGGCTGTGGACCCCTCAAAATTAGGCTGTGGGCCCCCCAAAACCCGGCTATGGACTCCTCAAAATTCGGCTGCGAACCCCTCAAAATTGAGCTGCAATCCCCCCTAAATCCGCCTGCAAATCCCCCCAAAAACCGGGCTGTGAACACCCAAAACCCGGCTGTGGACTCCTCAAAGTTCAGCTGCGAATCACCCCAAAATTGGGCTGAGAACCCCCCAAAACCCGGCTGTGAACCCTCCCAAAATTCGGCTGCTAATCCCCCCGAAATCCTCCTATGAAGCCCCTCAAAACCCAGCGGCGAAGCCCCCCTATCCTTCCGTGAACCCCCAAATCTGGCTGCACACGCACCCCAAAATTCGGCTGCAAACCCTCCCAAAATTCGTCTGCAAACCCCCCAAAAATTCGGCTGCAAATCCCCCAAAATCCGTCTGTAAATCCCCCCAATATTCGGCTGCAAACCCCCCCCCAAAGTTTGGCTGTAACCCCCCCGAAACCCTGTCAGTGGGGACCCCTCCCCAAATTCCCCCGAGCCCCCAGCGCAGCCTCCTCTTCCTCACTCTTTATTCTCTGCACGGGCCAAAAGCCCCTCGGGGTGGGGACAGTGACAGTGACAGAAATGTGGGGAGGGGGCGGTGACAGTGACAGAAATGTGGGGAGGGGGCGGTGACAGGGACAGAAATGTGGGGAGCCCCGATTTCCTGGGTTGGGGGCTGCAGCGGGACCCGTCCCCCCGTTTGGGGACACCAGGCGTGTCCCCAGCGCCACCACGGGACAGGAAAATGGGGAATTTCATGGAAAATTGGGGATCCCATGGAAAATGGGGGTTCCCATGGAAAATTTGGGTTCCCATGGAAAAATGGGGGTTCCTATGGAAAATGGGGGTTCCCATGGAAAGCGGGGGGTCCCACGCCGCCCCCTCCCCAGGGCCACTTCCCCTTGGGGACACGGGGTTGTGTCACCCCCCAAATGCCCCTGGTGTCACTACACCGGGCAGGGAAGGTCGTGCCCCCCTCGGGAGGGTCCCCACGGGGTTTGGGGGTCCCCAGGAGGGGTTTGGGGGTCCCGGGGGTCCCTCAGGGCCGCGGCTCCCCCCGGCGCTGGCGGGAGCGGCGGAAGCGGCCCTGGATGGCGAGAGCCGCTCGCTCCGTCTCGGGCGCGCTCAGGTCGATGTCGATCTCCTCCTCCTCCTCCTCCTCCTCCTCGTCCTCCTTCTTGGGATCAGCCTTGGCTGCCGGGGAGGGGGGGACAGGACGGGGACATGCTTGGGGACAGGCTGGCACTGCCAGATTGACGGTGGGCACACTCAGGGGGACACCAAGGGGGACACCCTGGCACCAATCTTGGGGACAGGGGACAGCCTGGCACTTCCAGATTCACCCAGGGGACACCCTGCCACCAACCTTGGGGACAAGGGACAGCCTGGCACCCCCAGATTCACTGTGGGGACACTCAGAGGGACACACTGCCACCCCCCTGGGGACACGGGACACCAAGACCTCTCCCAGGGGGGACACCCCAACACCTGCGAGGGGACAGGAGAGGTCCCCAAATGCACGCAGGTGCCACCCCCCGCAAGGACGGGGACAATGGGGGGACCCTGGGGTCTGCGGGGACAGCGGTGACAGCGGTGACAGAGGTGACAGAGGTGACGGAGGTGACAGCGAACCCGCGCCCCACCTGTGCCGGCGCTCCTCACCTTGCTGCTGCCCACCGGGGGCCTCCGCCGCGGAGGGGGGGACACGGGGACTGCGCTGCGGAGAGAGGGGACCCGGGGGTGACACAGGGTCCCCCATTGTCCCCGAGGTCCTCCCATTGTCCCCGGGGGTCCCACAGCCTCCAGCCCGAGCGGAGCTCACGGGGGCTACGCCGAGAAGAGAGGAGGGCCCGGGAGGACAGGGGAGGTGACACCGGTGGCCCGGGGTCCCCAAAGTGTCCCCTTGCCCTGCAGCCCCCCGTTCCCATTTGTTCCCAGCGCTGCTCCCCGCCCGGCTCGGTGCTGGAAACCCCGGGAAAGGGACAGAGTCCCGGTTCCGGTGCCTCCCGGTTCCCGCACCTCGCTCATCCCGCCCGGTGTCCCCCGATGTCCCCCGGTGTCCCCCGGTCCCCCCCGGTGTCCCCACCTCGCTCATCCCGCCCGGTGCCGCCGCCGCTCCCAGCGCGGGACCGGCGCTGCCGCCGCCGCCTTTATAGGGGGGGTTTGAGTGACAGCCGCGAGCAGCCAATGGGGAGAGGGGGTGGGGCCTAAATGGACACGCCCACAAGGATGGCTCCTCCCCGCCCCGATCCAGGGGTGACGGACACGGGGGGGACATTGGGGACATTGGGGGGGACACAGAGGGGCATTGGGGACATTGGGGACATTGGGGGACATGGGAACATGGAGGGGACACGGGGACATTGGGGGACGTAGGGGGACTTTGGGGGCATGGGGACACATGGGGACATAGGGGGACCTGGTGGACATGGGGGACACAGAGGAATATTTGGGATATTGGGGACATTGGGGACATGGGGACACAGGGGACCTGGGGGACACAGCAGGACACAGGGAAACATCTGGGATATTGGGGACATTGGGGACATTCGGGGACATTCAGGGACATGGGGATCTGGGGGCACTGGGGACACTGGGGACCTGGAAGACACAGGGGGACACTGGGGACATGGAGACATTGTGGGACATTCGGGACATGGGGACACGGGGGAACACTGGTGACATTGGGAACATTGGTGACATTGAGGACATTGGGGACATGGGGACCCGGGGGACACGGCAGAATTGTGGGACATGGGGACATGGGGACATGGGAGGTAGGACAGGGGACACGAGGGGACACAGCGGATCTTGAGGGCACCAGGGTGACCCTGAGCCCCCCGAGTGCCACCCTCCTGTTGGGGTGACACCTGGGGACAGAGCACAGGCGCTGTCCCGGGATGGTGACGCTGCCAATCCCCTTATGGCGCTGGTGACAGTGACCTCCCTGTGGGGACAGCGGTGGCAGGACGGCCACCAGTGTGTGTGACACGGGGTGCCACCCTCAGCACGTGGCTGTGACATCCCGGCTGTCCCCTCCGTGCCTCGCTGTCCCCTCTGCGGGTCTCTGTCCGTCTGTCTATCTCCGTGTCCCTCTGTCCCCGCTTGTCCCGCCCCGGGTGCCACCCCAGGTGCCACCCCCGGTGCCACCTGTCCCCCCCGCCCCGCGCTCTGTCCCCGCCTGTCGCAGCCCCAAGTTCAAGGTTCAAACTCCACGCGGCCCTTCCTGGGACCGCCGGTGACACGCGGGGACAGCCGGGACAGGAGGGGACAACCGGGACAGGAGGGGACACACAGAGACCGGAGGGGACACACAGAGACCGGAGGGGACAGCCGGGACAGGAGGGGACACCCAGGGACCACCAGGGACACCCAGGAATGGAGGGGACACTCGGAGACCGCCAGGGACACGCGGGGACGGCCGGGGACACGGAGGGACACGATGTCCCCTCACTGCATGGGGACAATTCCCTGTCACCGACCGCATCGGGGGACACCGACTCAGGTACCGCCAGCAGGGGGACAGGAGGGGACAGGAGGGGACACGCAGGGACAGGAGGGGACACTTGGCAACAGGAGGGGACACTCGGGGACTAGCAGGGTCACTTTGTCCCCATTGGGGACATGTTTGGGCTGGCAGGGACACACAGGGACAGGAGGGGACAGGAGGGGACGCACAGGGGCTGGCGGGACACACAAGGACCAGCGGGGCCACTTTGTCCCCGTTGGGGACACACAGGGACAGGAGGGGACACACAGGGATCGGAGGGGACACTTGGGGACACGCAGGGACAGGAGGGGACACACATGGACAGGAGGGGACACACGGGAATCGGAGGGGACACTTGGGGAACAAGCAGGGTCACTTTGTCCCCATTGGGGACATGTAGGGCTGGCGGGGACACTCAGGGACGCTTGGGGACGCTTGGGGACACGCGGGGACAGGAGGGGACACTCGGGGAATGCAGGGGACACTCGGGGGCTGGCAGGACACGCAGGGACAGGAGGGGACACCACGGGGACAGAGGGGACACCGCGGGGATGGGGGAGTTCACATGGGTGACAGCGCCGCGGGACACGGTGACACGAGGTGGCCTGGAGGGGACGGGACCGGTGCTGGCAGTGTGCCACCCCCGCTGTCCCCGTGTCCCCAGGCGTGTCCCTGTCGAGCCCCCCCGGCACAGCCCAGGACCCCGCTGGGGACACGGAGCCCGACGGTGACAAAGTGTGCGCCGTGTGCGGGGACAGGGCCAACGGGTACCACTTCCACGTGATGAGCTGCGAGGGCTGCAAGGGCTTCTTCAGGTGGGGACACCGCGGGGACACCTGGGGACACTGCGGGGACAGCCGGGGATACCGCGGGGACGCTGTGGGGACAGCTGGGGACACTGTGGGGGCACTGCGGGGACACTGTGGGGACAGCCGGGGATACCGCGGGGACAGCTGGGGACACTGCCTGGACACTGTGGGGACACTGCGGGGACAGCTGGGGACACTGCCGGGACACTGTGGGGACACTGCGGGGACAGCTGGGGACACTGAGGGGACAGCTGGGGACACTGAGAGGACACTGTGGGGATACTGTGGGGACACTGCTGGGACAGCCAGGGACACTGCGGGGACACTGAGGGGACAGCTGGGGACAGAGTGGGGACACTGTGGGGACACTGTGGGGACAGCCGGGGATACCATGGGGACAGCTGGGGATACTCTGGGGACACTGTGGGGACAGCTGGGGACACTGTGGGAGCATTGCGAGGACAGCTGGGGACACTGCGGGGACACCGTGGGGACAGCCGGGGACAGCTGGGGACAGTTGGGGACACTGCGGGGATGCTGTGGGGACACCTGGGGATACCGCGGGGACAGCTAGGGACACTGTGGGGACAGTTGGGGACAGCTGGGGACACTGCAGGGACACTATGGGGACAGCCAAGGACACTGTGGGGACACCACAGGGACATTGCGGCGACACTGCAGGGACACCACGGGGACAGTTGGGGCCACCGTGGGGACAGCTGGGGACAGCTGAGGACACTGCAGGGATGCTGCAGGGACAGCTGGGGACAGGGAGGGATGGGATGGGACATGGGGACAAAATGGGGTGGGACAAGGGGACAGGACGAGGGGACAAGATGGGATGTGGGGACAGGAGGGACTGGGATGGGAGAGGAGGGGGTGGCACAGGACGGTCCCATGGATAGGGACAGCGTGTGACAAAAGGGGACAGCCCTGTGGCTGAGGACACACGGTGACAGTGGCTGTGTCCCCATCCTGCAGTGGCAGTGGCTGTGTCCCCCTGGTGGCACTGCCTGTGTCCCCTTGGTGGCAGTGTCCCCAGCCCTTGATGGCACTGCCCATGTCCTCTTGTTGGCAGTGTCGCCTTGGTGGCAGTGCCCGTGTCCCCCTGGTGGCAGTGTTCCCCTGGTGGCAGTGCCCGTGTCCCCCTGGTGGCACTGTTCCCCGGGTGGCAGTGTCTGTGTCCCCTTGGTGGCACTGCCTGTGTCCCCCTGGTGGCAGTGTCCCCGTGTCCCCCTGGTGGCAGTGCCCGTGTCCCCCTGGTGGCAGTGTCCCCCTGGTGGCAGTGTCCGTGTCCTCAGTCTCTGGTGGCAGTGTCTCCATTCCTGGTGGCAGTGTCCCCCTGGTGGCAGTGTCCCCCTGGTGGCAGTGCCCGTGTCCCCCTGGTGGCAGTGTCCCGTGTCCCCGTGTCCCCGCAGGCGCTCCATCCTCAAGGGTGTCCGTTTCTCGTGTCCCCTGGCGCGGCGCTGTCCTGTCACCAAAGCCAAGCGGCGACAGTGCCAGGCCTGCCGCCTGCAGAAGTGCCTGGACGTGGGCATGAGGAGGGACAGTGAGTGACACGGGGGACACCGGGGGGACACGGGGCAGGGCAGAGAGGGAGGACATACAGGGCACACAGGGGACAAGGGACACAGGGCAGCAGCTGGGTGGGATGAAGGGGACCTGGAGGGGACAAGGGACAGGGTGGGGTGGCAGGGGAGGGGACAGAGGTGGCAGCAGGGGATGTGGCACAGAGAGGACAGCGGGGACCCTCTCGAGTGTCCCCGATCGCTGTCACCCGTGGCTGCGGTGACAGCGGTGACACGCGCCGGGCGTGGCAGTGATCATGTCGGAGGAGGCGCTGCGGCGGCGGCGGGAGCTGCGGGGACAGCGGGGCCAGGCCGGGGGACAGCGGGGACACGAGGGACAGCGGGGACACGAGGGACTGACGGCCGAGCAGCAGGAGCTGATCGCGCTGCTCATCGGCGCCCACCAGCGAACCTTCGACTCCAGCTTCTCGCAGTTCACGCACTGCTGGGTGAGCGGGGACAGCCCTGTCCCCAACGGGACACCCCTGTCCCCAAATGGGACCCCTTGTCCTCAAACAGGACACCCAGTCCCCAAACAGGACCCCTTGTCCCCAAACGGGACACCCTGTCCCCAAACAGGACACCCCTGTCACCAACGGGACACCCTGTCCTCAACTGGACACCCCTGTCCCCAATGGGACACCCCTGTCCCCAAACGGGACCCCTTGTCCTCAAACAGGACACCCCTGTCACCAACGGGACACCCCTGTCCCCAATGGGACACCCCTGTCCCCAAACGAGACACCCCTGTCCCTAAACGGGACCTCCCGTCACCAAATGTGACCCCCTGTCCCCAAACTGGACCCCTGTGGCCAACGAGACCCCCTGTCCCCAAAGATGTCCTCACTATTCCCAAAGATACCCCAGCTGTCCCCAAAAATGTCCTGACTGTCCCCACGTGTACCCAGACTGTCCCCAAAGATGTCCTGACTGTCCCCACAGGCACCCAGACTATCCCCAAAGATGTCCTGACTGTCCCCACAATGCCCCAAAAGGTGTCCTGACTGTCCCCACGTGTACCCTGACTGTCCCTAAAAATGTCCTGACTGTCCCCACGATGCTCCAGCTGTCCCCAAAAGATGTCCTGACTGTCCCCAAAAGATGTCCTGACTGATCCCAAGATTCCCCAGCCGTCCCCACCGCCACCCCGCCTGTCCCCTCTCTGTCCCCGCCTGTCCCCTCGCTGTCCCGCCTGTCCCAGCGCTGTCCCCTCGCTGTCCCCAGCCTGCCGTGCGCCTGCTGGTGCCGAGCCCGCCTGGCGGGGCTGTCGCGGCGGGGGTGTCGCTGTCGCCGTCGCCGCGGGAGGAGGCGCTGCCGGACGTGCTGTCGCTGCTGCCGCAGTTCGCGGACCTGAGCACGTTCATGATCCAGCAGGTGATCAAGTTCGCCAAGGAGATCCCGGCGTTCAGGTGCGCGGGGGACACCGCGGGGTGCTGGCGGGCGCCACCCGCCGCCCTGTCACCGTGTCACCGTGTCGCCGCCGTGTCCCCTCCCCGGCAGGAGCTTGCCGCTGGAGGCGCAGATCTCGCTGCTCAAAGGGGCCACGCTGGGCATCTGCCAGATCCGCTTCAACACCGTGTTCAACCCCCGCACCAAGGCCTGGGAGTGCGGGCAGCGCTGCTACACCATCCGCGACGGGGCCCTGGGTACACCTGGGGACACTGGGGACGTTGGGGACAGTGGGGACAGTGGGGACAGTGGGGACAGTGGGGACAGTGGGGACATTGGGAGTGCGGGCAGCGCTACTACACCATCCGCGACAGGGCCCTGGGTACCTGGGGACACCTTGGGGACACTGGGGACACCTGGGGACATTGGGGACATCTGGGGACATTGGGGACAATGGGGACACCATCCGCTATGGGGCCCTGGGTACTGCAGGGACACTGGGGACATTGAGGACACCTGGGGACATTGGGGACAGTGGGGACAATGGGGACACTGGGAGTGCGGGCAGCACTACTACACCATCCGCGACAGGGCCCTGGGTACCTTGGGGACACCTTGGGGACACCTGGGGACATTGGGGACAACGGGGACACTGGGGACAATGGGGACACCATCCGCGACGGGGCCCTGGGTACCTGGGGACACTGGGGACATTGGGGACAGTGGGGACATTGGGGACAACGAGGACAATGGGAGCACGGGCAGCGCTGCTACACCATCCGCAATGGGGCCCTGGGTACCTGGGGACAGCTGGGGACAATGGGGACAATGGGGACACCTGGGAGTGCGGGCAGTGCTGCTACACCATCCGCGACAGGGCCCTGGGTACCTTGGGCACACTGGGGACACCTGGGGACATTGGGGACAATAGGAGTGTGGGCAGTGCTGCTAAACCATCCACGACGGGGCCCTGGGTACACCTGGGGATACCTTGGGGACAATGGGGACACCTGGGGACACCTGGGGACAATGGGACACCTGGGGACACAAGGGGACAGAGCCTCCAGCTGTGCCAGGGGAGGCTCAGGGGGGAAATTTGGGTAAATTCCTCCTAAAAATGGGAAAAGGCCCTGGAAGAGCTGCCTGGGTGCTTCAGAGCCACCACCCCGGAGGTGTCCCTGGAGGTGGCACTTGGTGACAATGGTGGGGACCAATCCCAAAGCCACTTCCCACCCTAACCCAGGGATTTGTGCCCCTCCGTCCCCAGCCGGGTTCCAGCAGGTGTCCCTGGAGGTGACAAGGGTGGGGACCAATCCCAAAGCCCTAACCCGGGATTTGTCCCCTCCCCAGCCGGGTTCCAGCAGGTGTCCCTGGAGGTGACAAGGGTGGGGACCAATCCCAAAGCCCTAACCCGGGATTTGTCCCCTCCCCAGCCGGGTTCCAGCAGGTGTACCTGGAGCCGCTGCTCAAGTTCCACGAGAGCCTGCGGCGCCTGCGGCTGCACGAGGCCGAGTACGCGCTGCTCCAGGCCATGCTGCTCTTCTCGCCGGGTAAGCCCCGCCTCGGCGGGGACACGGGGACACCCCGATGTCCCCAAAGCCCCGCTGAGGTCACCCCGCGTCCCCTCAGACCACGCCGGCATCGCCCAGCGCGAGGCCATCGACCAGTTCCAGGAGAAGGTGGCGCTGACCCTCAAGAGCTACATCGACCACCAGCACCACCCCGAGGAGGGCAGGTGAGCCTTGGCACGGGGTGGCGCTGTCCCCAAGGGGGGGGGGACGGCCACCAGAGCCGGCTGGGTGTCCCCAAGGTTCCTGTACGCCAAGCTGCTGCTGCTGCTGACGGAGCTGCAGACGCTGAAGGTGGAGAACACGCGGCAGATCCTGCACATCCAGGACCTGTCGGCCATGACGCCGCTGCTCTCCGAGATCATCAGCTGAGCAGGGTCCCCTGTGTCACCCTCCTGTCCCCAAGTGTCACCCCCAGCTGCCTCCAGGCACAGAGTAAAGCTCCTTTATTTATCCTGGCTCCCAGGTGTGTCACCGCGGGGAAACTGAGGCACGGCCGCCATGGGGACAACGGGGAGCACCCCCATGGCAGCAGCCACCCCCAGAGAGTGGCACTGGGGACAATGGGGATCCCCAGCCCCAGAGAGTGGCACTGGGGACAATGGGGACCCCCAGCCCCAGAGAGTGGCACTGGGGACAATGGGGACCCCCAGCTCCCCCCGTGGCGCTGTCACTCGCTGTCCCCAGCCCGCCGTGTCCCCGCTGTCCCTGTGGCACCTGCACGGCCTGGCCTGGCAGCTCCCTGAGCAGGACGGTGCCACCACACGCTGTCCCCGTGTCCCTGCTGTCCTGTCGCTGCTATCCCCACTGTCCCTGTGTCCCTGCTGTCCTGTCCCTGCTGTCCCTGCTGTCCCCACTGTGCCATCCCCACTGTCCTGTGTCTGTTGTCCTGTCCCTGCTGTCTCCACTGTCCCCGCTGTCCCTGCTATCCTGTCCCTGCTGTCCCCACTGTCCCCTGTCCCCACTGTCTTGTCCTCCTGTCCCAGCTGTCCCCAGTGTCCCTGCTGTCCCTCTGTCCTGTCCCCTCTGTCCTGTTCCTTCTGACCCATCCCTGCTGTCCCCTCTGTCCTGTCCCCCCTGTGCCTGCTGTCCCTCTGTCCTGTCCCTGCTGTGCCCTCTGTCCTGTCCCTGCTGTCCCCTGTCCCTGCTGTCCCCTCTGTCCCATCCCCACTGTCCTGCCCCCACTGTCCTGTCCCTGCTGTCCCCCCTGTCCTGTCCCTGCTGTCCCTGCTGTCCCTGCTGTCCCTGTCCCTGCTATCCCTGCTTTCCTGTCCCTGCTGTCCCTGTCCCCCCTGTCCTGTCCCTGCTGTCCCTGTCCCCGGGCTCATCCCACGGTGACGGTGAAGCCGCAGTGGAAGCGGCTCCTGCAGTGGTTCAGGAACGCTCCCAGCGCCAGCGTCACCGGCAGCGGCGGCAGCTTCTTCTCCAGGACCCCCCCCACGCTCCAGTTGCTGTCCAGGAGCCCTGCGGGGACAGGGGACACTCAGTGACACCGGCAGGGGACACGAGGACACCTGAGTGACACCAGAAGGTGACACAGGGACACCTGAGTGACACCGGCAGGGGACACGGGGACACCTGAGAGACACCAGTAGGGGACACGGGGACACCTGAGTGACACTGGCAGAGGACACAGGGACACCTGAGTGACACCGGCAGGGGACATGGGGACACCTGAGTGCCAGGTAACAGTGAGGACACTTGAGTGACACAAGCAGGGGACACAGGGACACCCGAGTGACACCGGCAGGGCACACGGGGACACCTGAGTGCCAGGTGACAGTGGGGACACCTGAGTGACACGAGCAGGGGACACAGGGACACCTGAGTGACACCGGCAGGTGACAGCAGAGACACCTGAGTGACACTGGCAGGTGACAGAGGGGACACCTGAGGTGGGGACACCTGAGTGCCACCAGCTGGTGACAGTGGGGACACTGAGTGCCCCTGGCAGGTGCCAGTGGCCAGGAGGGGACACTAAGGGGACACGAAGGGGACACTAAGGGGACACGAAGGGGACAGTGCCCACCTCTGAAGACGGCGTTGGCCCCGGGCAGGGTGAGCTGGTAGCCGAAGGTGAAGGTGCTCTCCTGCAAACGCGTGTTGGCCTCCAGCTCCACACCCACCTGCACCTGTGGGGACATTGTGGGGACACCGTGGCGACAGTGGGGATAGCGGGGACACCAGGGGACAGTGGGGACACTGTGGGGGACATGTGGGGACACGCACCTGCTCGTTGGCCCGGTGGTAGTAGCTGGCGTGGGCTCCTCCATAGCCCACGTTGAGCGTTGTCACCCAGTTTGGGGCTGCGACAGAGAGAGGTAATGTCCCCACGGGTCCCCAAGGTGTCCCCAAGGCATCCCCAAGGTGTCCCCAAGGTGTGCCTGAGGCATCTCCAGGTGTCCCCAAGTGTTCCCAGGTGTCCCTAGGGTGTCCCAGAGGTGTTCCTGAGGCCTCCCCAGGTCTCCGCAAGCTGTCTCCAGGTTTCCTGAGATGTCCCTGAGATGTCCCCAGATGTCCCCAGGTATCCCCCAGGTGTCCCCCAGGTGTCTGCAGGCATCCCCAGCTGTTGCCATCTGTCCCCATCAGTCCCCATCAGTCCCATCTGTCCCTGTTTGTCTTCATCTGTCCTGTCTGTCCCTGCTATCCCCACCAGTGCCAGATGTCCCCAGCTGTCCCCAAGGTGTCCCAGCTGCCCCCATCCGTCCCCATCTGTGCCCTGCTATCCCCATCAGTCCCACCTGTCCCATCAGTCCCATGAATCCCATCTGTCCCCAAGGTGTCCCATCTGCCTCCAGGTGTCCCCAGGTGTCCCATCTGTCCCCATCAGTCCCCAGTGTGTCCCATCTGTCCCCAGTGTGTCTCATCTGTCCCCAGTGTGTCCCCATCAGTCCCATCTGTCCCTGTGTCCCCATCTATCCCCATCTGTCCCCAAGTGTCCCCTCTGTCCCCAGTGTCCCCAAGTGTCCCCACCTGTCCCCAGGTGTTCCATCCGTCTCTATCTGTCCCCAATATGTCCCATCAGTCCCCAGGTGTCCCCAGGTGTTCCATCTGTCCCCAATGTGTCCCCAGTGTGTCCCATCAGTCCCCTGGTGTCCCATCTGTCCCCAGTGTGTCCCCAGGTGTCCCCAGGTGTCCCCAGGTGTCCGTACCCGAGTATTTCCCGGCCAGGGTGAGGATGGCTCCCTCCTCCCCGGGCCGCCGGTGGTACACGAGCTCCCCGCCCAGCACCAGGCGGGCGGTGACGCTCTGCAGGAAATGTGCCACCACGATCACTGCGGGGACAGCGGGGACAGCCGCGCCTCAGACGGGGCCCTGGGGCCGGGTGGGGCTGGGGTGGGGCTGGGGTGGGGCTGAGTGGGGCGGGGCTGGGCCAGTGGCCCTGGGGTGGGGCAGGGGCGGGGCTGGGGCGGTGTCCCCAGGGCGGGGCTGGGGCGGTGTCCCCAGGGTGGGGCTGGGGCTGGGCAGGGCTGGGTGGGGCCAGGGACAGTCTCAGCCATGTCCCCAGGGCGGGGCCAGGGCAGAGTCCTCAGGGCGGGGCAGGGCTGGGCGGTGTCCCCCGGGTGGGGCAGGGCGGGGTCGGGGTGATGTCCCCAGGGTCACACAGGGCCGGGCACACTCTCAGCAGTGTCCCCAGTGCCAGGTGTGTCTGGGGCGGTGTCCCTAGGGTCACACAGGGCCAGGCACAATCCCAGCAGTGTCCCCAGGGCTGGGTGGAGCTGGGGCGGTGTCCCCAGAGTCACACAGGGCCAGGCACACTCTCAGCAGTGTCCCCAAGGTCAGGTGGGCCCGGGCACAATCTCAGCAGTGTCCCCAGGGCTGGGTGGAGACAGGGCGGTGTCCCCAGGGTCAGGAGGGCCTGGGCACAGTCTCAGCAGTGTCCCCAAGATCAGGCAGGGCCGGGCACAGTCTCAGATGTGTCCCCAGGGCCAGGTGTGTCCAGGGCGGTGTCACCGGGATCAGGGCAGGGCTGGGCACACTCTCAGCAGTGTCCCCAGGGCCAGGCACACTCTCAGCAGTGTCCCCAGGGTCACACAGGCCCGGGCACACTCTCAGCTGTGTCCCCAGGGTCACACAGGGCCGGGTACACTCTCAGCAGTGTCCCCAGGGCCGGGCACACTCTCAGCAGTGTCCCCAGGGTCACACAGGGCCGGGCACACTCTCAGCAGTGTCCCCAGGGCCGGGCACACTCTCAGCAGTGTCCCCAGGGTCACACAGGGCCGGGCACACTCTCAGCAGTGTCCCCAGGGTCACACAGGCCCGGGCACACTCTCAGCAGTGTCCCCAGGGCCGGGAACACTCTCAGCAGTGTCCCCAGGGCTGGGTGTCCCCAGGGTGGTGTCCCCAGGGTCACACAGGGCCGGGCACACTCTCAGCAGTGTCCCCAGGGCCAGGTACACTCTCAGCTGTGTCCCCAGGGCCAGGCACACTCTCAGCAGTGTCCCCAGGGTCACACAGGGCCGGGCACTCACCGGAGCCGCCCAGCAGGTCGGGGTTGCCCAGGGTCAGCGTGGCCGTGCAGTCCTCGCCCCGGTACTCGCCGTCGAACTGCCACGTCACAAACTTGGCCTGGTGCGTCTGGGGACGGGGGACAGGGACAGCGCTGCTGGTGGCACCGGGGGGCGGGCAGGGAGCGGCTGGCACGGGCGTGGCACCCCCGGCTCACCTGGAACACGGCCTTGGCACGGAGGTGGTCGCCCAGCAGGTGCAGGGCCTGGGCATTGAGGCTGCCACTGCTGTCCATGTCCCCGAGCAGCGTGGGGAACACCTGGGGACAGCACAGGGCATGGGGACAGGGCATGGGGACAGGGGATGGGGACAGGGGACAGGGGAACACCTCGGGACAACACAGGGCATGGGGACAGGGGGACAGGGACAGGGGACACCTGCGGACAGCACAGGGCATGGGGACAGAGACAGAGGACAAGGGAACACCTGGGGACAGGGGGACACAGGGACAGGGGGACACAGGGCCACCACCAAGCGCCCCTGGGGCTGGCTGGGACCTGGCACTGTGGCCATGGTGAGGCCACCAACAAGCCCAGGGCCACCTGGGGCCACCAGGGCCACCAATGACCCCAAAATCACTGATGACCACAAGGCCACCAATGACCCCGGGGTCACCTGGGACCCCCCCTCACCCGAGGGCCACCCACATCCCTGAAGCCACCAGTGACCCCAGGGCCACTCTGAGGCCACCAACCCCCTCAGGGCCACCAACCACCCTTGGATGGCCAAAGTGACCCGCTGATGGCCTGGGGGTGACCATGAGGCTCCAGACCGGGTGACACCCCCTGTGCCACCCCCTCAGGCCGGTGGCACCCGCGCTGTCACCTCGGTGGGCCCCAGCTGGCGGTCCCCCACGAAGGTGGCGTTGAAGCGGTAGCCGGAGGGGCCCAGGGTGCTCATGTGCACCGTGTGTGTCACCTGCGGGGACAGGGACAGTCACAGGGGACAGGGACAGCGCGGGGGGCATCCCACAGGTGTCCCCAGGTGTCCCCTGCCCCACCTGGAAGTGGCTGCTCAGGGTCTTGGTGACGATCAGCTTCACCCCCTCCATCTGCGGCGGGAACACCTCTGGGGGGACACGGCTGTCACCCCTGGGGACACGGCTGTCACCCCCAGGAATGGCTGTCACCCCCCAGGTGACACCCCCAGCCCCGTTTTGGGGACAGCACTGACACCCCCGGGCCAGCCCCCCAGGGGACACCGCTGCCACCCCCGCTGTCCCCTCCTCACCCCAGTGTCCCCTCAGCCCCTGTGTCCCCCCTCAGCCCCGCTGTCCCCCCGCGCTCCCCCGCCGTCCCCGTCCCCGCACCTTTGCAGAGCCGGTGCAACTCATCGAAGCTGCCGGGGTTGCCGCGGGGCTGGGCCCGGCGCGGGGCCCGGCCCTCGGCGTTGCCCATGGCCCCTCACGGGCCCCCGCCGGCCGCCGCCATCGCGGGCGGCGCCGCCCGGAGCGCCTTCAGGGGGGGCGCCGCCGCCATCTTGGCTGCGGGCAACGGGCGCCTCTCATTGGCTGAGCCGGGAGGGCGGGGCAGCGCCGGAATGCGACCCCTCCGGCAACCTGGACCCGAGCGGCGATGTTCCGTAGCGGGAGCGTTCCGCGCCACCCTCCTGTCCCCAAATCCCCAAATCCCGAGTGTCCCCAAATCCCCATATCCCGAGTGTCCCCAAACCCCCGCGTGTCCCCAAATCCCGCGTGTCCCCAAATATTGCTGTCCCCCAATCCCGAGTGTCCCCAAACCCCCGCGTGTCCCCAAATCCTCGCGTGTGTGCCCAAACCCCCGCTGTCCCCAAATCTGGACCCCCCCCCATGACCCCTCCCCACCTCGCTGTCCCCTCCCTGTCCCCTCTGTCGCTATCACCCCACTGTCCCCTCCCCGCGCCACCCCCCGTGTCCCCTGCCTGTCCCCATCCCCGCAGTGACCGGGGGGACTCCGACCTTTGTCCCCGGTGCCACCCCCGCCCTTTGCCCCCGCGTCCCCAGCCCGGTGGGGGTCGGTGACACCGCGGGCGACAACCTTCGGCCCTTGGGGGCAGGGGGGGACAGCAGGGGACAGGAGGGGACAGCAGGGGACAGGGCCCCCCCGCGCTGCCCCTCGGCCCCGCCGTGTTTGCCCGGGGGGGGCGGGATCGGCATAAAAACGGGGCCGGGGGAGGGGAGACCCCAAAACTGCAGCGACACCGGAGAGGTGAGGGGACAGCGGGGGACAGGAGGGGACAGGGACAGGGGACAGGGACAGGGAGAGGGCAGGGACAGGGGGGAAGGATTGGGATTGGGGACAAGGTATGGGGACAAGGTATGGGGACAGGGATGGGGGAGAGGGACAGAGGACAAGGATTGGGGACAAGGAGGGGACAGGGGACAGGGATTGGGGACAGGGGACAGGGACTGGGGACAGGGACAGGGATGGGGAGAGGGACTGGGGACACAGAGGGGACAGCGGACGCGGGATTGAGACTGGGGACAGGGACTGGGGACATAAAGGGGCCAGGGAGAGGGAAGGGGACAGGGACAGGAATGGAGACAAGAGACAAGGAGGGGACAGGGGCAGGGATTTGGGGACAGGGAGAGGGACGAGGACAGGGGAAACGGGGACAGGGATTGGGATTTGGGGCAGGGATTGGGATTTGGGACACAGAGGGGACAGGGACGGGGACAGGGAGGGACGGGGGCAGGGATTTGGGGACAAAGAGAGGGAGAGGGATGGGGGACAGGAACTGGGATTGGGATTTGGGGCAGGGATTGCGGTGTGGGGTTGGAATTGGAAACTGGGGTCAGGATTGGGCGTAGGGCTGCGATTGGGATTTGGGGTTCGGATTGGATTGGGGTGTAGGGCTGGGATTGGGGTGTGGGTCAGAATTGGGGTGTGGGGTCAGGATTGGGGTGTAGGGCTGGGATTGGGGTGTGTGTCAGGATTGGTATTAGGGGCTAGGGGCAGTTTTGGGGTGGGATAAGGGGAGAACAGAGCGTGGGGCTGGGTGGGGACAGTGGGCCAGGGATGTGGGGCTGTGGGTTAGGAATGGGGCTGGAGGTTTCTCTGGGGCAGGAATGGGGTGGGATGGGTCTGGAAGTTTTTATGGGGCTGGGATGGGATGCGATCCATGGGATGGGGCTGGAAGTTTCTATGGGGTTGGAAGGTTTTATGGGGCTGGAATGGGACGGGATGGGGCAGGGTTGGAAGTTTCTATGGGGCGGGAAACTCCTGTGGGCCTGGAAGTTTTTATGATCCTGGAATGGGATGGGATGGGATTAATGGAATGGGATGGGGCTGGAAGTTTCTATAGGGCTGGAAGTTTTAATGGGGCAGGAATGGGATGGGATAGGGCTGGAAATTTTCATTGGGTTGCGATAGGATAGGATTAATGGGATGGGACGGGGCTGGAAGTTTCTATGGGGCTGGGATGGGATGGGATCCCTGGGATGGGTCTGGAAGTTTCTATGGGGTTGGGATGGGGTGGGATGGGATTTATGGGATGGGATGGGGCTGGAAGTTTCTATAGGGCTGGAATGGGATTTATGGGATGGGATGGGGCTGGCAGTTTCTATGGGGTTGGGACGGGATGGGCTGGCATCTCCGTGGGGACACAAGTGCCACCTGTCCCCGCGGTGTCCCCGCCGTGTCCCGCAGCCATGCCGCTGCCGGTGCTGGCCCTGCTGCTGCTGCTGCTCGCCGCCCGCCCCGGGGCCGCGCTGCCCGGGCAGGACGGGCCGGGGCAGCCCCCGGAGGAGCCCCCGGAGGAGCCCCCGGAGGAGCCCGCGGGCAGCGCGGATTTCCTGAGCCGGCAGCTGCAGAGCCTGAGCGAGCTGGTGAGCAGAGAGCTGCCCCCGCAGCTGCGGCCCCAGGAGCTGCGCGCACAGGCCGGGTACGGGGGCGGGACCCCTCCCCAATTCCGGGACCCCTCCCCAATTCCAGAACCCTCCCCAATTCCAGAACGCCACCTGGGACCCCTCCCCATTCCGGAACGCTCCCTGGGACCTCTCCCCAGTTCCGGAACCCTGCCCGGGACCCCTCCCCAATTCCGGGACCCCTCCCCAATTCCAGAACCCTGCCCGGGACCCCTCCCCAATTCCAGAACCCTCCCCAATTCCAGAACCCCGCCCGGGACCCCTACCCAATTCCAGAACCCTCCCCAATTCCGGAACCCTCCCCGGGACCCCTCCCCACTCGGGACCCCTCCCCAATTCCAGAACCCTCCCCAATTCCGGAACCCGCCCCAGGACCCCTCCCCATTCCGGGACCCTGCCCGGGACCCCCTCCCCATTCCAGGACCCCTCCCCACTCGGGACCCCTCCCCATTCCAGAACCCTTCCCGGGACCCCTCCCCATTCCGGAACCCTGCCCGGAACCCTGCCCGGGACCCCTCCCCAATTCCAGAACCCTCCTCTCCTCGGGACCCCTCCCCCGCCCCCTCCTCACCCGGGACCCCTCCCCTCCCTTCCTGAGACCCCTCCTCGAGACCCTCTTGGGACCCCTCCCCTCCTTCCCGTGACCTCCCCCCTTTCTGGGACCCCCTCTCTGGGACCCCTCCTTTCCCCTGGGACCCCTCCCGTGACCCTCCCGGGACCCCTCCCCTCTCTGGGACCCCTCCCCATCCCCGCTGACCCCCCCGGTGCCCCCCAGGCTGTACCTGGAGCGCGCTAACAAGCAGCTGGAGCCGCTGGCCCGGGAGCTGCAGAACAACGTGCTGGGGCTGTTCTCGTCCCTGCTGGGGCTGCGCCGGGCCGAGACCCCCGAGACCCCCTGAGAGACCCGGGGGGGCACCCCCGAGACCCCCTGAGAGCCCCACATGGACCTGGACTGAGCCCTGAGACCCGCAGGATGGGCCTGGACACAGCCCCGAGAGCCCCTGAGACCCCCACACGGACCCCAAATACAGCCCTGAGAGTCCCACATGGACCCCACTATGGCGCCGAGACCCCCACACGGACCCCAATATGGCCCTGAGATCCTGACATGGAGTCCAATAAAGCCCCAGGACCCCCTGAGACCCCCAGGATGGGCCCAGACACAGCCCAGGGACCCCCACCCCAGACCCCAACCCAGTCTTGACCCCATCCTAGGTACCCTGAGACCCCTCCCCAATCCAACCCAGAGCCCTGAGCCCATCACAGAACCCCAAATAAAGCCCTGAACCCCCCCCTGTGTCCTTGGAATTGGGGCTGGGGGATTCCCTGGGGCTATGGGGAGGGGTCTTTGGGGCTGTGGGGGTGTCAGTGGGGCTGGGGGGCGTTTCCGGGGTGTGGATGTCATTTGGGCTGGAGGAAATGTTGGGGGGTCCCTGGAGTTTTGAGGGGGGTCCCCATTGCTCTTTGGGGGGCTCGTCGTTGCTGGTTGGGGGGGGCGTTCCTTGGGGTGGTGGGGTCCCTGTTGCTGTTGGGGGGGGGTCCCTGAGGAGGGGGAGGTCCCTATTGCTATGAGGGGGTCCCTGGGCCTGTCGAGGGTCCCCATTGCTCTTTAGGGGGGTCCCCGTTGCTGTGGGGGGAGTCCCTCTTGCTATGGGGGGGTCTCTGAGGAGGGGGCAGTTCCTGAGGAGGGGGCGGTCCCTGTCACTGTGAGGGGGTCCCTGGGCCTGTTTTGGGGTCCCTGTCGCTGTTTGAGGGGGGTCCCTGATAAGGGGGCGGTCCCTGGACTGTGGGTGCCGCCCCCTCAGCCAAGCCCCGCCCACCTCCCCCCTCCTCTCTGCCCTCACTAAAAATGGCGGCGCCGCCTCACGCACCGTGCGTGCCCTCACCCAAAATGGCGGCAATGACGTCACCGCGCCCGCCACTCCCGCAGACAAGATGGCGGCCCCGTGCCGGGGTGGCGGCGTGACGTCAGTTCCGGCGGGGCGGCATGGCGGGGCCCGGCTATGGCGGACGCGGCGGCGCGGCGGGCGGTGGCGGAGCTGCCGCTGCTGCGGGCACCGGCGGGGCCGCGGGACCGCGAGGGCTGGGCCGAGCGGCTGCGAGAGGAGTACCGGGCGCTCATCCAGGTGCGTGCGTGGCGTTCCTCCCCTCACGGATCCCGCCTGGCCGTGCTTCCGTTCCGTCTCGGGGCTCTCCCGGCGTCTCAAATCCCTCCCGGTTTTCCCCTCGCGGTGTCGCTCCGGTGTTCCCCTGCTGCTCTGTTCCTCCTTCCAGACCACCCCCATGTGCCCGCCGGTGTCCCCCGGTGTCCCCTCGATACTCCCGGTGTCACCCCCCGGTCCCACCCAGTGTTCCCCCCATGAGTGCCCTCAATACTCCCGGCGTCCCTCAATCCCTCCCGGTGTCCCGTGTCACCCCCCTGGTGTCCCCTCAGTGCTCCCGGTGTCCCCCGGTGTTCCCTATCACACCCCTCTCTGTCCCCCGGTCCCTGCCGGTGTCCCCTCGATCCTCCCGGTGTCTCCCCAGTGTCCCCTGTCACCCCCCGGTGTCCCCCCTTGAGTCCCCTCAATACTCCCGGTGTCCTTCAATTCCTCCCGGTTTCCCTCCTCGATGTCCCCCGTCTTCCCCCGGTGTCCCCTCAATACTCCCGGTATCTCCACGGTGTCCCCTGTCACTCCCCGGTGTCCCCTCAATACTCCCGGTGTCCCCCCTGGTGTCCCCTGTCACCTCCCGGTGTCCCCCTGGTGTTCCCCGGTCTACCCCCGGTATACCCCCGGTGTCCCCTTGACACTCCCGGTGTCCCTCAATCCCTCCCGGTGTCACTCTGCGGGGTCCCCCCGTGAGTCCCCTCGATCCTCCTGGTGTCCCCTTGACACTCCTGGTGTCCCCCCTTTCCCGGTACCGGTGACTCCCCCGGTCCCGGTGACCCCCCCGGTGTCCCGGCAGTACGTGGAGAACAACAAACGGGCTGACACCGACTGGTTCCGCCTGGAGTCCAACCCTGAGGGCACCCGGTAAGAGGGGAGGGAGCACCGGGACCCCCCCCCGGGTCACACCGGGACCCCCCGGGATTGTCACAAACCCGCCCAGGGCAGCTCCGGTGTCCGTGGGGGGGGTCCCAGCACCGGGGGAGGGGTCCCGGGGGGCTCTGAAGGGTTTTGGGGGGATCCTGGGGGGATCTCAAGGGTTTTGGGGGGGTCCCAGAGGGGGTTCCCCCACGCTGAGGAGGTCCTGGGGGAGTCTTAGGGGGGGTCTGGGGGGTTTTGGGAGGATCCTGGGGGGCTCAGGGTTTTTGGGGGGGGGTCTTAGGAGGCGTCTGAGGGGTTTTGCGGGGGTCTGGGGGATTTGGGAGGGGGTCCTGAGGGGGGTCTGAAGGGTTTTGGGGGGTCCCAGAGGGGATTTCCCCCACACTGAGGGTCTTTTAGGGAGGGGTCTGAGGGGTTTTTGGGGGCTCAGGATTTTTTGGGGGGGGGTCTATAGGGGACGTCTGAGGGGTTTTGGGGGGTCTGGAGGGCTTTTAGAGGAGGGGGCTCCCCACGCTGAGGGGTCCCAGGAGTGTCTGAGGGGTTTTGGTGGGGGGGGGGGGTCACGGGTGAGTTTGAGGGGCTTTTTGGGGGGGGTTGAGAGTTTTTTGGGGGGTCCTGGGTGGGGTCCCGATGTGAGCCAGGAGGGGTCCTGGGGTCACTGAGGGGTTTTGGGGGGGGTCCCAGGAGGGTCCCAGGGTCAGTGAGTGGATTTGGGGGGGGGTCTTGGGGTCAGTGAGAGGTTTTGGGGGGAACCCAGAGAGGGTCTGAGGGTCTTTGGGGGGTCTCAGGGGTGTCTGAGGGGTTTTGGGGGGATCCCAGGGTCACTGAGGAGTTTTGGGGGGGGTCCCAGGGTGGTCCTGGGGTCACTGAGGGGTTCTGGAGGGATCTTGGGGGGGGGGTCCCAGGGTCCGTGAGTGGATTTAAGTGGGGGGGGGGGGTCTTGGGGTCAGTGAGAGGTTTTGGGGGGATCCCAGAGAGAGTCTGAGGGCCTTTGGGGGGTCTCAGGGGTGTCTGAGGGGTTTTGGGGGGGTCATGGGGGTCGCAGAGGGGTTTTGAGGAGGTCCCAGAGGTGTCTGAGGGGTTTTGGAGGGGTCTGAGGGGTATTGGGGGGGGTCCCAGGGTCACTGAGGGGTTTGGGGGGGTCCCAGGCTCACTCAAGGTTTTTGAGGGGGCAGTCATTGGGGAGTTTTGGGGGGTCACTGAGGGTCCCCCCATGTCCCCAGGTGGTCGGGCAGGTGCTGGTACATCCATGAGCTGCTCAAGTACGAGTTCAACATCGAGTTCGAGGTGAGGAGGGGTCTCGGGGGGGGTTTTTTGGGGGGGGTCTCAGGGGGGTTTTGGGGGTGCTGACCCCCCCCCGCCCCCCCAGATCCCGGTGACGTACCCGGGCACCGCCCCCGAAATCGCCATCCCCGAGCTGGACGGGAAAACAGCCAAGATGTACCGGTGAGGGGGGGTCTTGGGGGGGCTTTTTGGGGCGTTTGAGGGGGTCCCGAGGGATTTTGAGGGGCTTTTCAGGGGGTCTGAGGAGTTTTGGGGGGTCCTGGGGGATTTCTGGGGGGCTTTGAGGAGGTTTTGGGCATGGGAGGGGTCCTAGGGGGGCTTTGGGGGGATCCTGGGGGTGTTTAGGGGGGTCCTGAGACTCAGGAGAGTCTGGGAGGGGTCTTGGGGGGGTCTGGGAACAGTCCTGGGGAGAGTTTTGGGGGTCCTGGAGGTTGCTTGGGGGGGCTGGGGGGGGATCTGGGAGGGATCTGAGGGGTTTTTGGGGGGGGTCCCGGGGGAATTCGAGGTGTTTTGGGGGGGGGGGTCTGAGGAGTTTTGAGGGGTCCTGGGGTGGCTTAGGGGGGGGGGGGGTCTGGGTGGGGTCTTGGGGAGGGTTTTGGGGATTGGGGGGGGTCCAGGAAGGATCCTAGAGGGAACTTTGGGGGGGGTCCTGGGGCTCAAGGGGGGTCTGGGGGGGGTCCTGGGGAGGGTTTTGGGGATTGGGGAGAGGTTTGGAGGGGTCTTGGGGGGTCCTAGGGAGCCTGGGGGGGACTTGGGGAGGGGTCCTGGGACTCCAAGGGGTCCGGGAAGGGTCCTGGGGGAGCTTTGGGGGTCAGGGAGGGGTCGTAGGGGGGGGGGTTGGGGCTTGGGGGGGAGATTTGGAGGGGTCCTGAGGGGGTCCTGGGGCTCAGGGGGGATCTGGGACGGATCCTGGGGAGGATTTTGGGGGGTCTGAGGGTATTTGGGGGGTCCCAGGGGGGGTCTGACAGCTCTGTGCCCCCCCAGGGGGGGTAAGATCTGCCTCAGTGACCACTTCAAGCCGCTGTGGGCCAGGAACGTGCCCAAGTTCGGGCTGGCACACCTGATGGCACTGGGGGTGAGCACCGGGGGTGGCACACCCGGGGGTGGCACCGGGGAGGGGGGGACACGGGGGTGGCACTGGGGGTGGCACCGGGGGGCACCAGGAAGGGATTTGGGGGGTGCTGAGGAGGGGTCCTGGGGAGGGTTTTGGGGCTTGGGGTGGCACTGGGGTATGGGGGACACTGGGGGGGCGCTGTCACCTGTGTGGGGACAGCAGGGAGAGGGGACAATGGGGGCTCACCCCTGGGGGGGGGGGGGGGGGAGGGTGACGGGGGGGGCTGTCAGATTTTGGGGTGGGGGATGTGACACTAAGGGAGGGTGACACAATCTGGAGGGGTGACACTGGGGGGGGTGACACCCATAGAGGGGGTGTGACATTATGGGGGTTGTCACCCTTATGGAGGTGTGACACTGGGGGCGTGACACTCATATAGGGGGTGTGACACCAAGGGGGGTGGCACGTTCTGGGGATGTGACACTGAGGGGTGGGGGGGGTGACACATTTTGGGGGTGTGACACCAAGGGGGGGGGGTTTCACCTTTTCGGGGGGGGGGGTGTGGCACGTTCCAGATGTCCCCACCCCACTGACCCCTGTCCCCACAGCTGGGTCCATGGCTGGCCGTGGAGATCCCGGACCTGATCTCCAAAGGCCTCATCCAGCACAAGGACAAGTGACCAACCTGGGGGGACCTTGGGGGTCCCCCACCCCACTTTGGGGGTCTCCCACCTCCCCATTCCCCTCGGGGGTCCCCCCATTCCTCTCCCAGCTGCTGCCACCCCTCCCCACCGCTTCGCTGCTGCTCCCCAATAAACACTGAACCCCGATTTAGTGGCGGTTTGTTATTTTGGGGGTGACACGGAGGGGATTTATGTGCCCCCCCCCAAAAACCCGCGAGGGTCGCGGCCCCTTTAAGACGCCGCGCGGTTTCCATGGCGACGCGTGTTGTGGAGGGGCGTGGCCGGGAGGGCGGCGCATGCGCAGAGCCAGCGGCGAGGCCGCCGGGGGCGGGGCCGGCTGAGGGAGGCACAAAGATGGCGGCGGGTGCGGCGGGAGTTGTTGCCATGGCGGCCCGCGGGAGGTGCGGGGGGACCGCGGGGCGACCCCGCCGAGGGGCGCAGGGGGGCGAGGGGGGCCGCACTTGGGGCTGGGGGGGCTCCGGGACAGCGGACACCCCCGCCAGGGGAGCGGCGGGGCCGGGCGGGGGGTGCGGGACAGGGCCCCGGGGGGGCGGGGGGGTACCGGGATGATGGGGGGGGCAGCGGGAGCGCCTCAGGGGGGCACCGGGATAGGGGAGGGGGGAACCGGGGCGGGGGGGGGGCACGGGGGAGACCCCCGGTGAGGAACCCCGGGCCCGGAGAGGGGGGCGGGGCCCTGAGGGGCGGGGGGTGATGGGGGCACCGGGAGGGGTCCGGGGAGGCTGCGGGAACCACTATGGGGGGACCACTATGGGGATTACGGGCCCAGGGGTGCGGGAACGGCTTTGGGGGGACCCGGGGATTGCAGGGGGGCTGAGGCCGGGAACCGCTTTGGAGGGACCCCGGAATTGCGGGGGGCTGAGTCCGGGGGGTGCGGGAACGGCTTTGGGGGGACCCCGGGGGGTGCGGGGGGGCCCGAGCTTTGGGGTCCCCCTGAGCTTTGGGATCCCCCGAGCTTTGGGGTCTCCCAGCTTTGGGGTCCCCCTGAGCTTTGGGATACCCCGGAGCTTTGGAATCCCCTGAGGTTTTGGGGTCCCCCCGAACTTCGGGGTCCCCCGAGGCTTTGTGGCCTCCCAGAGGTTTTGGTGTCCCCCGAGGCTTTGGGTTCCTCCGAGCTTTTGGGTCTCCCCGAGCTTTGAGATCCCCCGAGGTTTTGGGATCTCCCGAGCTTTGGGATCCCCCCAAGTTTTGGGATCTCCCCGAGGCTTTGGGGTCTCCCCAAGCTGTGGGACCCCCCGATCCTTGGTGTCCCCCCGGTAACCCCGATGTCCCCGCAGGGCCCCCGCCGACGGGACGCTGTGTCCGGCCGCCGGGCGCGGGGGGCTGTGAGCAGGTGGGTGCCCCTTCCCCTCGCCCTTGTGCCACCCTCCCGACCCTGCCACCTGGTCACCGTGCTGTCGCTGTCCCCGCAGGCCCCGCCATGCCCCAGGCCTCGGAGCACCGCCTGGGCCGCGCCAGGGACCCCGGTGCCCCCGTGGTGACGGCGCAGCCCCGGGCGGGCTCCCGCCTGCCCAGCGGGCACCGGGCGCTGAGCCAGGAGCGCCATGCGGCCCCCAACGGGCTCAGCCCGGCCCCCAAACTGCGCCTGCTGCCCCCCCGGCCCCCGCCGCCCCCCGACGACCCCCGCCCCAAGAAGCTGGAGCTGGAGCGGGGCCGGGCGGCCAAACGGGGGGACCCCGCTCCCCGTGGGCCGGGGGGACGCCGGGGGCCGCTCAAGGCCGATCACGGCGTGAGGGTGCCCGGGGGAGCCCCGCAGGTGCCCGGCAGCGCCTCCTTCTCTCTGCCCAGCGCGGCCGAGCGCCGCCGGAGCAACCTGGCCCGCTCCAAATCCATCAGCATCGGCGACCTGAGCCAGGGAGGCGGCGGTGGCGGCGGTGTCGCCGGTGTCCCCAGCCGCGCCGAGGACGTGGCGGTGGCGCTGAGCCGCTTGGTGCTCAGGGACTGCGGGCACCCGCTGGGTGCGGGCGCGCTGGCGCTCCGCCGGAGCTCCTCGCTGCGCAGGGTCACCGTGAGCACCGGGCCCGACGGCAAAGGCACCGCGGCGCTGCTCTCCGTGCGCCCCGAGGGCGGCCCCCGCGCCCGCCCCGAGCCCGCCTTCGGCCACGGCCCCGGCAGCCCCGCGAGCGGCCGGACCGAGGACAAGGCCGCGGTAAGAGACCGCGAGGGACCGAGGGGTGTGGGGTGGGGCAGCCGTGTCCCCTGCCCTGGGGACATTTTGAGACCCCTGCGGTATCCCCAGGTTTAGGGACGTGTTGAGACCTCCAGCCTTGGGGACATTTTGAGACCCTCACACTGTCCCCAGATTTGAGGGTATGTAGAGACCCTCATGCTGTCCCCACCTTTGGGGACATTTTGAGACCCCTGTGCTGTCCCCAACCTCAGGGACGTTTTAGCCTTGGGGACATTTTGAGACCCCCCCCCCCCCAGAGTCCCCAGACTTGGGGACATTTTCTGACCCCCATGCTGTCCCCAACTTTGGGGACATTTTGAGACCCTCTCAGTGTCCCCAGCTTTTGGGACACTTTGAGACCCCTGTGGTGTCCCCAGCTTTAGGGACATTTTGTGATCCCCACATTGTCCCCACCTTTGGGGACATTTTAAGACCCCCATGCTGTCCTCAGGCTTGGGGACATTTTGCCACCCCCATGCTGTCCCCAACCTCAGGGACATTTCGTGATCCCTGCAGTGTCCTCAGCTTTTGGGACACTTTGAGACCCCTTCAGTGTCCTCAGCTCTGGGGACATTTTCAGCCCCCCACACTGTCCCCAGCTTTGGAGACACTTTGAGACCCCCACACTGTCTCCAGCCTTGGGGACATTTTGTCACCCCAATGCTATCCCCAGCTCTGGGTACATTTTGTGACCCCCCAGTGTCCCCATCCTCAGGGACACTTTGAGACCCCTGAGATGTCCCCTCGGGGGACATTTTGTGCCCCCCGCAGTGTCCCCGCTCAGGCTCGGTGACATCCCCAGGGTGGCACAGTGGTGGCACTCTCACCTGTCCCCGCTCCAGTCCTGTTTTGGGGACCCCCACGGCTCTGGGGTGGGGTCGCTGCTGTCCCCCCCAGCTCAGGTGGCTGGTGCCATCCTTGTGTCCACACAGCTCCAGAGTGACCACGAGTGACCGGTGGCACTCTGGTGACACTGAGGTGACACCGAGGTGGCCGCCGCCCCCTCCCCGTTTCCGCATCCGTGCCCCCCCCCCCCCCCCATCCCTCACCTGCCGTGCCACGTGTGGGGCGATCGTAATCCCCAAAACGCCACCGGGCCACGGCCACCCTGCCTTGTCCCCCCTCGGGATGTCCCCAGCGCTGTCACAGGGTGTCCCTCATCCCCGCCAGCCCCCCAAAACCCCTCTGTGGAAACCCCGGGGGGATTTTTGGGGGGTGTTTACCCCGCAGGGGCGGCAGCTCCGGCTAATTAATCCCGCGGGATGAGCCCAGAATAGCGCGGGGGAATCGGATCAGCTAATGAGCTGAGGGGGAGGAGGGCGCACCGCGGTGACCGGTGCCACCACCGCCGGTGCCACCGGGAGCCGCGGCGGCCATGCCGGGGCTGCAGGGAGCCACGCTGGTGGCCGAGCTGCCGCGGAAGCTGCAGCGCTCGCTGCTGCCCCGCCGGGAGCTGCCGGGGCGCCCCACCGACATCGCCGAGTCCGTGGTGCACACGGCGGTCATGGGGCTGCTGCTGGTCACCGGAGAGGTGAAGGCACCGCCGGGGGACAGCCGGGGGGACACCCAGGGGGACACCCAGGGGGACGGGGTGTGGCTCACCGGGTGTCCCTCGCTGTGTCCCCCCCAGACACACCACACGCTGCTGCTGGGCTCGGGCCACGTCGGCCTCAGGAATTTGGGCAACACGGTAAGAGGGCAGCGAGACCTTCCCCGGGAGGGATTTGGGGTCACCTCGGGGTTCCCAACCTTCCTGTCCCTGTGGTCTGGGCTGTGGGAGGGATTTGGGGTCACCTTGAGGTCCCCCAGGCTCAGTGGCCTTGGTCCCATCTTCTTGTCCTGTTGGGATGTCACATTCCCAGAGCTCCCCCAGCCCCACAGTGCTGTCCCCAGGGTCTCCAACCCTCCTGTCCCTGTGTTCTGGGCTGTGGGAAGGATTTGGGGTCACCTCAGGGTCCCCAACCCTCCTGTCCCTCTGTCCTGGGGTGCAGAAGTGATTTGGGGTCCCCTCGGGTTCACCTCGGGGTTCCCCATGCTTGGTGGCCGTTGTCCTGTTCTCCTGTCCTGCTGGGATGTCACATTCCCAGAGCCCCACAGTGCTGTCCCCATGGTCCCCAACCCTCCTGTCCCTCTGTCCTGGGCTGTGGAATGGATTTGGGGTCCCTTTGGTGTCCTTTAAGTGTCCCTTGGTGTCACCTGGGCGTCCCCTCAGTGTCCCCAACCCACCGCAGCCCCATCCCACTGGGGCCATCACATCCCCGGGTACCCCCAGCCCCACGGGGCACCCTGAGGGAGCCCTGGTGGCAGTGCCACCCGCCGTGATGTCCCCGCGGTGTCCCCTCAGTGCTTCATGAACGCCGTGCTGCAGTGCCTGAGCAGCACCAAGCCCCTGCGGGATTACTGCCTGCGCCGCGACTTCCAGCAGGAGCAGCCCCCCGGCCCCCGCGCCCCCCAGGAGCTCACCGAAGGTGGGACAGACCCCCTAAAACTCCCACAGCACCCCTAGAACGTTCCAGAACCCCCTCAGGGGGCGCTGAGCCCGCAGTGTCCCCGCTGTCCCCGCAGCCTTCGCCGATGTCATCGCCGCCCTCTGGCACCCCGACTCCTCCGAGGCCGTCAACCCCGGGCGCTTCAAGGCCGTGTTCCAGAAATATGTGCCCTCCTTCACGGGTTACAGGTGAGATATCCCCCCAAAAAAAAACCCTTTTGGGGACCCCCCCAAGAGGACAAAGTGTCACCGAGTGTCCCCACAGCCAGCAGGACGCGCAGGAATTCCTCAAGTTCTTCATGGACCGGCTGCACGTGGAGATCAACAGGAAGGGCCGGCGCACCCCCAGCATCCTGTCGGACACACGG